GGCTGAGTGTTTACATTCTCCGGCCCCATCTGTTGCCCTCTCCCCTTCCCCCTGGGCATGAAGATCTAAATTTCCTCAAGTACTTTCCCAGTTAGATTCCTGAATTATTTCCCTGTCACCCACTTTGTCTGTTACCATTATCAAAGCCAGTAAATGAAAGAAAAGAGATTGAGTCATCAGGTGACTTGGTAGTTTCCTTTCAGTCTTGAGATTCTATTATTCTCATCATTCATTCACTGTCATCATTCACACACTCAACAAATGTTTATCGAGCACCTACCATGTTCCAGTATGTTCCAGGCACTTAGGCGCTAGGAATACATTGGTGAATAAAACAAATACAAACCCCTGCCCCACTGAGCTTACATTCTAGTAGAGGGACATGGACACTGCAGATTCACATAAATTAAATAATAGTACTGCTGTGGAAGTAAATAAAGTGTAGTAGGGAATAGGAATTCTGGGAGAATTGGGTGTTTTCATTTAAATATAACTATTTGTAATTTCAACTTTTACTATAGATTAAGGGGCACATGTGCAGGTTTGTTATATGTTACATATTGCATGATGTTGAGGTTTATGGTACAACTGATCTCATTACACAGGTGATGAGCATGGTAACCAATATATGGTTTTTTAGCCCATGCCTGCCTCCCTCCTTCCCTCTCCTGTCTAGTAGTCCCCAGTGTTCCCCATCTTTATGTCTATGGGTATTCAATGTTTAGCTCCCACTTATATGTGAGAATATGTGGCATTTGTTTTTCTGTTTTTGCATTAATTCTCTTAGGATAATGGCCTCAAGCTCCATCCATGTTGCTGCAAAGTATATAATTTCATTCTTTTTGATTATTGCACAGTATTCCATGGTATATATATAACACATTTTCTTTATCCAAGTCACTGTTGAAGGGTACCTACCTATGTTGATTCCATGTCTTTGCTATTATGACTAGCACTACAATGAACACACAGGTGCATGTTTCTTTTTGATATAATAAATTATTTTCCTTTGGGCATATACCCAGTAGTGGGATTGCTAAGTTGAATGGTAGTTCTGTTTTCTGTTCTTTGAGAAATCTCCAAACTGCTTTCCACAGTGGCTGACCTAGTTTGCATTCCTACCAGCAATATATAAGTGCTCCCTTTTCTCTGCAACCTGGCCAGCATCTGTTATTTTTTTACTTTTTAATAATAGCCACTCTGACTGATGTGAGATTGTACCTCGTTGTTGTTTGGTTTGCATTTCTGTGATGATTAATGATGTCAATCATTTTTTCATGTTTCTTGGCCACTTGTACATCTTCTTTTGAGAACTGTCTGTTCATTTCATTTGCCTACTTTTTAATTAGTTAGTTTGTTTTGTGCTTGTTGATTTAAATTCCTTATAGATGCTGGATATTAGACTTTTGTCAGATGTATAGTTTGTGAATATTTTCTCCCATTCTGTGGCTGTTTACTTTGTTGGTAATTTCTTTTGCTGTGCAGAAGTTCTTTAGTTTAATTAGGTCCTTTTTGTTTTTGTTGTAATTGCTCCTAGAGACATAGCCTTAAATTCTTTGCCAAAGCCCATGTTGAGAAGGGAAATTCCTATGTTATCTTCTAGGATTTTTATAGTTTAAGGTTTTATATTTAAGTCTTTAATCTATCTTGAGTTAATTTTTGTACATGTTGAGAGGTAGGAGTTCCAGTTTCATTATTCTGCATATGGCTAGCTAGTCATCCCAATATCATTCATTGAATAGGTAGTCCTTTCTCCATTGCTTATTTTGGTCAGTTTTCTCAAAGATCTAATGGTTACAGGTATGTGACTTTATTTCCATGCTCTTTATTCTGTTCTATTTTTCTATGTGTCTGTTTTTGTACCAGTACCATGCTGGCTTGGCTTCTTAGCCTTAGAGTATAGTTTTAAATCTAGTTATATGATGCTTTTGGCTTGTTCTTTTTGTTTAGGATTGCTTTGACTATTTGGATTCTTTTTTGGTTCCATATGAATTTCAGAGTAGATTTTTCTAATTCTGTGAAAAACGACATTGGTATTTTGATAGGGATAGCAATGAATCTGTAAATTGCTTTGGGCAGTATGACCATTTTAACAATAGTGATTTTTCAAATCAGTGAGCATAGGATATTTTTCCATAGATTTGTGTCATCTCTGATTTATTTTAGCAGTGTTTTGTCATTCTCCTTGTAGAGATCTTTCACATCCTTGGTTACATACGTTCCTAGATGCTTCATTTTTTGTGGCTATTGTATATGGGATTGTGTTCTTGACTTGGTTCTCAGCTAGAATGTCACTGATGTATAGAAATGCTACTAATTTTTATACAATTATTTTGTATCCTGAAACTTTACTGAATATGTTTACAGTTCCAGGAGCCTTTTGGGAGAATCTTTAGGGTTTTCTATGCATAGACATATATCATCAGCAAAGAGAGACAGTTTGGCTTTTTATTTTCCTATTTGGATGACTTTATTTCTTTCTCTGACTGATTGCTCTGGCTAGGCCTCCCTCTACTATGTTGAATAGGAGTGGTGGGAGTAGGCATTCTTGTCTTGTTCCAGTTCTCCCGGGAAATGGTACCAGCTTTTGCCTGTTCAGTATAATGTTGGTTGTGGATTTGTCATAGATGGCGCTTCCTATTTTGAAGTGTGTTCCTTTGCTGCCTAGTCTGTTGAGGATTTTTATCATGATGAAATGTTGGATTTTATTGAAATATTTTTCTGCATCTCTGAGATAATCATATGATTTTTGTTTTTGATTCTACTTGTGTGGTGAATCACAGTTATTGATTTGTGTGTGTTGAATTAACCTTGCATCCCAGGAATAAAGCCTACTTGATCATGGTGAATTAACTTTTTGATGTGCTACTGGATTTGGTATGCTAGTATTTTGCTGAGGATTTTTGTGTTTATCTTCATCATGGATATTGGCCTAAAGTTTTCTTTTGTTTGTGTGTCTCTGACAGATTTTGATATCAGGATGATGCTGACTTCATAGAATGAGTTAGGGAGAAGCCCTCTTTCCTAAATGTTTTGAAATAGTTTCAGTAGGATTCATATCAATTCTTTGTATGACTGGTAGAATTTGGTTGTGAATCTGTATTAGTCTGTTCTCATGCTTCTATAAAGAAATACCTGAGATTGGGTAATTAATACAGCAAAAGGGTTTAATTGCAGTTCCACATGGCTGGGGAGGCCTCAGGAAGGTTACAATCACGGCAGAAGGGAGAGCAACAGATCCTTCTTCACATGGTGACAAGAGAGAGAAGAATGGATGAAGGGGGGAAAGCCCCTTATACAATCATCAGATCTCATGAGAACTCTCTATCATGAGAACAGCATAGGGGGACCGTCACAATAATCTAATCACCTCCTATGAGGTCCGTCCCCCAACACCTGGGGATTACAATTCAGATTACAATTCAAGATGAGATTTGGGTGGGCACACAGAGCCAGATCATGTCAGAATTCGTCTATTCTTGGGCTCTTTTAGGTTGGTAGGTTTTTTTTTTTTTTTCCACTTTGGAATATTTATTATATTCCTTAATGCATTTCTTAGCAAGTATAGCACTCTTTAATCAAGAATATAAAGTCATCTACTTAGAATCACAATATCTTAAAGATGCATACTGGAATGATAAGCAAGTTTGAAGATGTAACTATCAACAATTCTTTTCAAAGTCATATCAATATATTACTCTCATGAAACTTGCACATTCTAAGAAAGGTCATGTTTTTTCCCCCAGTACTGGGAAGGTATGCATTTAACCATGTGGCCAGCCAGAAAGGCTATTTTATATATGGTGTGTGTTACTTATTAAAAGCCTGTCCTTTCTCTAATATTGTACATTACACAATTGTAGCTACACCTGAAGAGAAGTGAGTTTCAATGACCACCATCACCTAAAAACATGAGTAAGTTCCTATATTTAGGACCAGAGGAATGATATATTGTACTGTACTATGCCTACCTCTGTCCAGAGGCCAGCTGTCTCACCTGTTCTTCAGGGTGTCTAGACTTCTTACCCATCTATTATCGGGGATGCTTCTGAAGTCATTCCCATGGGCCCCTGTCTAGTATTGAGAATACCTCTAAGGAAGTTTCTTTCAAATCTGATCTACCCACCATGTTTATTCCCTGACACTAAAAGTTCACTGACTTCAAATCCTAGACTTGTCCATCATTATTTTCCCTAGTTGGACAAGGCTGAATTAAAGAGACTTTGTTAAAGGAAGTAGCCTTGGCAGAAGAAAAATCGTTGTTCTGTAGAAGTGTCATTCAATATTTAAAATCCTTTCTGAACCAAAACGAGAGCCTGAAAGTAAAGCACCTTTTATTTTTTTTAACTCTGCTGTCATTGCTACTAAGGATTTATGGTAAATTATCCTGCAGCCCTTCTTGGCTTGAGAGGAGGTACAGCACAAGTAGCCCACAGGGTCTCAATAACAGAAATATTCTCAAGGACCCTTGAGAATACAAAGGAATACTGGACTGTTTTAAAATGAGAAAACAGAAGAATCAGTTTCTTCTGTTCCTATTCCTATAATATGCCTTAGTCTTTGAAAAGCACAGATAGATAGTTGGTTTGAACTAATTATTTCTCCCTGCTCTCCCCCACAAGAGACATTCCTGCTTGTCTTCTTGGGCATCTGTTTAAAAGCAGTATGGGAAGAAGGGGGATGCTCTAGGGGGACAAGATGTAATCATAAAATCTGAAGCCCCAAAAGAAAAGTCAGAGGAGGTTGAAAAAAAAAAAATGAAAGCAACTCTCCTAACCAGAAAATCAAATATGTTATCTTTCTTTCAGGATTAATAATTAATAGTTAAGAGGAAAGCCACATCAATTTATAGGGCCCTTCTTTGGGAAAGATTCATATAATTTAGCATACATACCATATTCAGTGAAAATGCATTCAATATAATTACCTATTATAAAGACAACCTTCTTGGCACTTAACAAATGAGATAATTATAAATGCTCCTTTTGCTTTTTATTAAAATGTCACAGCATGCCTAGAGAACAGTTTATATGGATGCATAAAGTCTGAAACCCTAGAAGAAAACTAATCAAAAACCACCTGTTAAATACACAATTATGATTATTGGTGTCCTTTCAATTAAATCCTATGTGTTTAAAATGAAAAACACGCAGCCTGGTACAAATACTCATGTTTCGATTTGCGATCTGCTGCATTGGCATGAGTTTTGGTGAAACTGCAAAATCACACCCAGTACTCTTCTCTATGTCATCCACTGTCAGGCCTTCCCAGAGCTCAATCAGAGTCAGCCCTTTTTTCTTGTCCACATCAAACACAGCCTTTTCAGTAATAATGTGGTTGACACATTGCTTTCCAGTCAATGGTAATGTACATTTCTCCATGATTTTATGTGCATTTCCCTTTGCAGAATGCTCCATGGTGACCACCACTTTGGTTTTGGCACTGGACACTAAATTCATAGCACCTCCCATTCCTTTCACCATCTTTCCAGGTATCATCCAGTTAGCCAGGTCACCATATTTGGAAACCTGCATCGCTCCTAGCATTGTCAGATCCACATGTCTCCCTCTAATCATTGCAAATGATTCATCGCTGGAGAAAAAAGAGGCTCCTGGAAGAATAATAACCGTTTCCTTGCCTGCATTGATGAGATCTGCATTAGCTTCATGTTGTCATGGGTATGGACCCAAACCCAGGACTCCATTTTCACTTTGAAGACGAACAGTCATATTTGGGCTGATAAAGTTGCTGGCCAGGAGAGGGATTCCTATGCCCAAATTAGCATACATGCCATCCTCAAACTCAAGAGCGGCCCTCTTGATGATTCATTCCCTTACGTCATCTCCAGGGTTAGCAGATTCGGCTTCCTCATCTCCCTCTTTCCGGATTGATAAATGCTCAATTCTTTTCTCATATTTCTCTCCCTTTATAAGGCGATGTACATAAATCTGAGGAATATGGATGTCTTCTGGAGCAAATGCTCCAATATCCACAATTTCTTCAACCTCTACCACTGTGGTTTCTGCAGCTTTGCACGTTGGCAAGTTGAAATTCCTTGCACTTTTCCTGAAAATCGCGTTTCCTGCTCGGTCCGCCTTCCAGGTTTTCACCAAAGCAAAAGCCCCTGTAATTGCTTCCTCCAAAATAAAGTGCTGACCATTGAACTCACTCGCCTCTCTTGGCTTACTGGTAATGGCAACACTGCCATCTTTGTTGTATTTCATGGGCGACCCTCCTCGAAAGGCCGGGAGGACGTCATAGCCGCGCTGTGGAGGCTCCAGCCCGCCCCTCTTTCCTTCGCAGTGAATCGGCGGCGCCCAGGACAGCGCGCACTGATACTCAAACGCGCGCTCCACCCGGTAGCCTCCTCCTGCCTCACGGTCCGAAGATGGCGGCTCTCAAACTCCTCTCCTCTGGGCTTCGGCTCTGCGCCTCTGCCCGCGGATCTAGGGGAGCCTGGTACAAGGGATGTGTTTGTTCCTTTTCCACCAGTGCTCATCGCCATACCAAGTTTTATACAGGTCCAGTAGAAGCTGTAAAAGACATTCCTGATGGTGCAACGGTTTTGGTTGGTGGTTTTGGGCTATGTGGAATTCCAGAGAATCTTATAGGTGCTTTACTGAAAACTGGAGTAAAAGGACTAACTGCAGTCAGCAACAACGCAGGGGTTGACAATTTTGGTTTGGGGCTTTTGCTTCGGTCCAAGCAGATAAAACGCATGATCTCTTCATATGTGGGAGAAAATGCAGAGTTTGAACGACAGTACTTATCTGGTGAGTTAGAAGTGGAGCTGACACCACAGGGCACACTTGCCGAGAGGATCCGTGCAGGCGGGGCTGGAGTTCCTGCATTTTACACCCCCACAGGGTATGGGACCCTGGTACAAGAAGGTGGGTAGGTTTTTAAAATTGCTGATTCAGTTTTGGAACATGTTATTTGTCTGTTCAGGTTTTTACTTTCTTCCTGGTTAAATCTTTGGAGGTTGTGTGTTTCCAGAAATGTATGTTTCTTCTAGATTGTCTAATTTGTGTACATAGAGGTGTTCATGGTAGACTCTGAGGGTGTTTTGTATGTCTGTGGGATCATTTGTAATGTCATCTTTGTTATTTCTGATTGAGCTTATTTGGATCCTTTTTCTTTTCTTTGTTAATCTAGCTAGTGATCTATCAGTCTTGTTTATTCCTTTGAAGAAACAATTATTGGTTTCATTAATCTTTTGTATGGACTTTTTGGTCTCTATTTCATTCAGTTCTCTGATTTTAGTTATTTCTTTTCTTCTGCTATCTTTGGGGTTGGATCATTCTTTTTTTTTTCCCTAGATCTTTAAGGTGCAATGTTATATCATTAATTTGAGCTCTTTCCAACCTCTTCATGAAGGCATTTAGCACTATAAACTTTCCTCTTAACACTGTTTTAGCTGCATTCCAAAGATTTTGGTGAGTTGTATCTCTATTTTCATTGATTTCAAGGAACTTTTTAATTTCTGCCCTAATTTTGTTGTTCACCCAATAGTTATTTAGAAGCAAATTGTTTGTTTTCCATGTTCTTATATAGTTTTGAGAGATATTATTGGTATTTTTTTTTTTTTGCACTGTGGTCCAAGAGTGTGCTTAGTATGTCTTAATTTTTTTTGAATTTATTGCGACTTGCCTTATGACCAAGCATATGGTCAATCTTAGAATATGTTCCATGTGTAGATGAAAAGAATATATTTTCTATGGTTGTTGGATGGAATATTCTGTAGATGTCTATTAGGCCCAATTGGGCAAGTGTCAAGTTTAAGTTCAGAATATCTTTGTTAGTTTTCTGCCTCAGTGATCTGTTTGGCACTGTCAGTTGGGTGATGAAGTCCCCTATGTTATTTTGTGGCTGTCTGAATCTTTTTGTAGGTCAAAAACTTGTTATTATAAATCTGGGTGCTCCAGTGTCAGGTGCATATATATTAGGATAGTAAAGTTTTCTTGTTGAAATAAACCCTTTACCATTATGTAATGCCCTTCTTTGTTTTTCTTGGTTGTTGTTGGCTTAAACTCTGTTTATCTGATATTAGAATCGTGACTCTTGCTTTTTTGTTGTTGTTTATTTGCATGTTAGATCTTTCTCCATTCCTTTATTTCTAGCCCGTGGGTGTCATTACATGTGAGATGTGTCTCTTGAAGACATCAGGCAGTTGGCTCTTGTCTTTTTATACAGCTTGCCACTCTATGCCTTTTAAGATGGGTGTTTAGATAATTTACATTCAGAGTTAGTGTTAATATACAAGATTTTGATTCTGTTGTTATATTGCTGGCTGTTTGTTTTGTAGACTTGCTTGTAAAATTGCTTCATATTGCCTGTGAGTGATGCATTTGAGTGTGTTTTTTTTTTTTTTTTTTTTTTTTTTGTGGTAGCAGGTTTCAATCTTTTGTGTCCATGTTTACCATTCCTTTTAGGGCCTTTTGTATGGCTGATCTGGTGGTAACAAATTCCCTTAGTGCTTGCTTGTTTGAGAAGGATTTTATGTCTCCTTTGCTCAAGAAACTTAGCTTAGTGGGATGTGAGATTCTTGGTTGGAATTTCATTTTTCTAAGAATGCTTAAACATGCCCCCAATCTCTCCTAGTTTGTAAGGTTTCTGTTGAGAGGTCTGCTGCTTTCCTGATGAGATTCCCTTTTTAGTTGACCTGACCTTTTCCTCTAGCTGCCTTCAATATTTTTTCTTTTGTATTCACCGTGGTGAATCTAATAATTATATTCCTTGGGAGTGGTTGGCTTGTATAATATTTTGCAGCAGTTCTCTGTATTTCTTGAATTTGTATGCCCTTCTCTCTAGCTAGATTAGGGAAATTTTCATGCACTATATTCTCAGATGTGTTTTCCAAGTTACTCTCTCTCTTTTTCTTTCAGAAATATTCATGAGTCATAGATTTGGTCTCATTACACAATCTTATATTTCTCAGAGGTCTTGTTCATTTTTTAAAATTATTTTTTCTTTGTTTTTGTTGGATCGAGTTGCTTCAAAGAACCAATCTTCAAGCTCTGAGATTTTTCCCTCAGCTTGGTCAATTCTGCTGTTTATGCTTCTGATTATGTTATAAAAGTTTTGAAGTAAATTCTTCAGTTCTAGAAGTTTTTTCTGGTTTTTTCTTAAAATTATTATTTCATTTTTCAGCTCCCAGGTTGTTTAACTGCTTTCCTTTTATTCCTTGGATTGGGTTTCAACTTTCTCCTTGATCTTAATGAACTTCCTTGCCACTCATATTCTGAATTCTGTTGCTGTCATTTCAGTTATCTCAGTCTGGTTAAGAACCATTTCTGGGGTACTAGTGTGTTCATTTGTAGGTAAGGGCACACAGTGGCATTTTGAGTTGCCAGAGCTCTTGCACTGATTATTTCTCATGTGCAAGTGCTAGTGTTTCTTTAACTGTTATGTAAGTTGAGTACAGTCAGTTGGCTTTGTTTCTGGAGGCTTTCAGAAGGCCAAGACTCTGTGCAGATCTTTTTTTTGTGGTTGATTTTTTCCTTTAGCTTTATTTTTTATTTTTATTATTATTATACTTTTAAGTTCTAGGGTACATGTGCACAACATGCAGGTTTGTTGCATATGTATACATGTGCCATGTTGGTGTGCTGCACCCCTTAACTCATCATTTACATTAGGTATATCTCCTAATGCTATCCCTCCCTCCTTCCCCCACTCCACAACAGGCCCCACTGTGTGATGTTCCCATTCCTGTGTCCAAGTGTTCTCATTGTTCAGTTCCCACCTATGAGTGAGAACATGCGGTGTTTGGTTTTCTGTTCTTGCGATAGTTTGCTGAGAATGATGGTTTCCAGCTTCATCCATATCCCTACAAAGGACATGAACTCATCCTTTTTATGGCTGCATAGTATTCCATGGTGTATATGTGCCACATTTTCTTAATACAGTCTATTATTGATGGACATTTGGGTTGGTTCCAAATCTTTGCTATTGTGAATGGTGCTGCAATAAACATATGTGTGCATGTGTCTTGATAATAGCATGATTTATAATCCTTTGGGTTTATACCCAGTAATGGGATGGTTGGGTCAAATGGTATTTCTAGTGCTAGATCCTTGAGGAATTGCCACACTGTCTTCCACAATGGTTGAACTAGTTTACAGTCCCACCAACAGTGTAAAAGTGTTCCTGTTTCTCCACATCCTTTCCAACACCTGTTGTTTCCTGACTTTTTAATGATTGCCATTCTAACTGGTGTGAGATGGTATCTCATGGTGGTTTTGATTTGCATTTCTCTGATGTCCAGTGATGATGAGCGTTTTTTCATGTGTCTGTTTGCTGCATAAATGTCTTCTTTTGAGAAGTGCCTGTTCATATCCTTTGCCCACTTTTTGATGGGGTTGTTTTTTTCTTGTAAATTTGTTTGAGTTCTTTGTAGATTCTGGATATTAGCCCTTTGTCAGATGAGTAGATTGCAAAAATTTTCTCGCATTCTGTAGGTTGCATGTTCACTCTGGTGGTAGTTTCTTTTGGTGTGCAGAAGCTCTTTAGTTTAATTAGATCTCATTTGTCAATTTTGACTTTTGTTGCCATTGCTTTTGGTGTTTTAGACATGAAGTCCTTGCCCATGCCTATGTCCTGAATGGTATTGCCTAGGTGTTCTTCTAGGGTTTTTATGGTTTTAGATCTAACATTTAAGTCTTTAATCCATCTTGAATTAATTTTTATATAGGGTGTAAGGAAGGGATCCATTTTCAGCTTTCTACACATGGCTAGTGAGTTTTCCCAGCACCATTTATTAAATAGGGAATCCTTTCCCCATTTCTTGTTTTTGTCATGTTTGTCAAAGATCAGATGGTTGTAGATGTGTGGTATTATTTCTGAGGGCTCTGTTCTGTTCCATTGGTCTATATCTCGTTTTTGGTACCAGTACCATGCTGTTATGGTTACTGTAGCCTTGTAGTATAGTTTGAAGTAAGGTAGCATGATGCCTTCAGCTTTGTTCTTTTGACTTAGGATTGACTTGGCAATGCAGGCTCTTTTTTGCTTCCATATGAACTTTAAAGTAGTTTTTTCCAATTCTTGATGAAAGTCGTTGGTAGCTTGATGGGGATGGCATTGAATCTATAAATTACCTTGGGCAATATGGTCATTTTTACGATATTGATTCTTCCTATCCATGAGCATGGAATCTTCTCCATTTGTTTGTGTCCTCTTTTATTTCATTGAGTAGTGGTTTGTAGTTCTCCTTGAAGAGGTCCTTCACATCCCTTGTAAGTTGGATTCCTAGGTATTTTATTCTCTTTGAAGCAATTGTGAATGGGAGTTCACTCATGATTTGGCTCTCTGTTTGTCTGTTATTGGTGTATAAGAATGCTTGTGATTTTTGCATGTTGATTTTGTATCCTGAGACTTCGCTGAAGTTGCTTATCAGCTTAAAGAGATTTTGGGCTGAGATGATGGGGTTTTCTAAATGTAAAATCATGTCATCTGCTAACAGGGACAATTTGGCTTCCTCTTTTCCTAATTGAATACCCTTTATTTCTTTCTCCTGCCTGATTGCCCTGGCCAGAAATTCCAACTCTATGTTTAATACGAGTGGTGAGAGAGGGCATCCCTGTCTTGTGCCAGTCCTCAAAGAGAATGCTTCTAGTTTTTGCCCATTCAGTATGATATTGGCTGTGGGTTTGTCATAGATAGCTCTTATTATATTGAGATACATCCCATCAATACCTAATTTATTGAGAGTTTTTAGCATGAAGGGTTGTTGAATTTTGTCAAAGGCCTTTTCTGCATCTATTGAGACAATTATGTGATTTTTGTCTTTGGTTCTGTTTATATGCTGGATTATGTTTATCGATTTGCATATGTTGAACCAGCCTTGCATCCCAGGGATGAAGCCCACTTGATCATGGTGGATAAGCTTTTTGATGTGCTGCTGGATTCAGTTTGCCAGTATTTTATTGAGGATTTTTGCATCGATGTTCATCAGGGATATTGGTCTAAAATTCTCTTTTTTTGTTGTGTCTCTGCCAGGCTTTGGTATCAGGATGATGTTGGCCTCATAAAATGAGTTAGGGAGCATTCCCTCTTTTTCTATTGACTGAAATAGTTTCAGAAGGAAGGGTTCCGGCTCCTCCTTGTACCTCTGGTAGAATTCGGCTGTGAATCTCTCTGGTCCTGGACTTTTTTTGGTTGGTAGGCTATTAATTATTGCCTCAATTTCAGAGCCTGTTATTGGTTTATTCAGGGATTCAAC